GTTAGGTTAATATATTCAAATGTGGGGTGTGGGTGTGGGTGTGCGTGTGGGTGTGGGGTGTGGATGTGGGTGTGGGTGTGGGTGTGGGTGTGGGTGTGGGTGTGGGTGTAGGTGTGGGTGTGGGTGTGGGTGTGAGTGGGGATGTTTACGAAATGAAGATTCACACCCACACATCCACACACCCACACATCCACACACCCACACATCCACACACCCACACATCCACACACCCACACATCCACACACCCATACATCCACACCCACACACCCACACACTCACATACCCATACCCCACACTCACACCCAACACCCACCCACACCCACACCCACCCATGGACGCAACCGCATGCGTTCTAGAAAAATAAAAACATAAATTATGATAATACATATATATATATAATTATTACTTTTAATACTATCTAAATAATCAAACAATCCATAGAGATGATTAAGAGTATTATCGCTATAGTCAAAATCATACGCATTAGGATAACGATCTTGTAAACTCATAAGAAATTCAAGACATCGAATTCGTACGCTGATGATCTTGATCTAAACAAGAAATTTTTTTCAAAATCATTATATGATATTAAGATTAAATTTATTACCATAGATAAAACCAAAATAACATTATCTTCCATTCTTTAACCGTTTATTAATGTATAGCACTGTTCATAAATTATGCAATTATACTTTTGTTCGTGATTTTTCCATCCCAACTACAAGTGTTTGCAAAAAAATTGGACACCCTTTTCTATAGATATCATCTTCTATGAAAGTGTTTTTCGAATTGTTTTATACTGTGGTAGATAGCCCACTAAGAGTAATACACGACAGCACAATTTGATATTCCGTTTGTTCATTTGTAGAAGAAAAATAAGACAAACATCTCTTTTTCTTGGATACAACAATAATATTTATAATCGAAATTTCAACATTTTGAACTTTTTCATCTGAAAATAGGTGATTAAATAGAAGCCATCTTCAAACGTTTTGTATAGGAATTAATGATAAACTACAACGAGTAATGTTGAATATCATCATAGTTCAATATTTTATTCATTCAACTTTACAATTAATAAGAGATGAGCATCTTTCTTCTTAGAAATCACACAATTTTTTACAGCATTAATATGATTATTTCGAATTCTTCAACTAAAAGGTCCGAACTCATCAGCATTAACAGGTTTTCTTTTTTTCACGTCGCGTTTCACTATCAATCATATGTTCCTGATCGAATTTGCATCCGGATTGTTAGGTGACCAGTGTCATAACTGCGATGCATTTTCGATAAATTTTCTTTTATTTTCCTAAAAGTTATTTCATTATTACGTGGAATGTATTGACTAATAGCTTTTTCCTATTCCACTAAGGCACATAGTCGACCATAAACTTGGAACCAGTCGAGTTTTTTGTCGACCGACCGGTTCAAGTTCTTGACATAACCAGAAAAGACGGTAAAAATCAGCAAAAAACCAGTTGGTTCAGTCACAGAATTTAATCTGCAAAAATCGAGTAAGAGAAAATAAATGAGAAGGATCGGTTATTATACTAGACACCATATTATAGGCTTTTTAGTACCTAAGCATTTTCACAGTTGCACGAAACTAGTAGTTGCCATAACGTTCACAACAACAGATCTTTTTTAATATTGACACAATGAAAGTATGAAGTGACAGCAACTAGCTATTGGGAGTTTCTGACAGCTAGTAATAAATGTTTTAACAAAGTGAGCTCGAAATTGCGAACAGGAAAATCTTTAATTGAAACTAAATTCAACTCCTGTTAGGTTATTAATTTTTCATGAACATAATAAATTCATTCAGCATAATTCAAGACCCTCACCATACGATGACAAGATGAGAATTCAAAATCTAGAGCTGAAAGTTGAATCACGACTATAAATTTGTCATCTAAAAACGTTCAAGATCGTATCTGTTGATCTTTGAAGCCATGAAAATCCATAAAAACGAACAAAATACATTAATTTAGTTTTCATACTTTAAAATCTGATAAAAAACCGGTCAAACCGGTATAAACCGGTTTTAAAAGTTCAATCGGACCGGTCGGTCGTAGTGGCGTAACCACCAGGGGGCACAGGGTGCAATGCCCCCCGTGTAAATGGTTTTGCCTTCTCTGTAAATTTTTTATCGGAAAATGGCAGTTGTTTCTATGTTTTCATCATAAGATGTTATGGTGGTGGCCTTAGAAAATATGCGACATCATGCGATAGAAGAAATAAAAAAATCATATTTCAACGACCATCGTGAGCAGGGCTGCCACCTTCGAATTTTCAAATGGGGTACATCAGATTTCAGCTGGGGTACAATTTGGGTACAACTTTTGTTAAAATTGGGGTACATCATTGGGGTAGTTTTTTTCTGAAAGAGTACGATTAGTTGGAAAAAATGCTGATAGATACTCCTTTTGTGCAAAAAATATCGTAATTCACTTTGTTTCAATAAATTTAGTTTTTATTGTTCATTCTGTTACAAAAAAGAAACTCTTTCATAATCAAATCATAATTTCCAAAAAATAAATATTTTACAAAGCAATAGAAAATCTACAACTAACACAAGCGCAAGGTAAGTGTCGAAATCAGCTAGAAGTTTTTCTTTTATGACTATACTTTTGTGAACTTCGAGCAATTTTAATTACTTCAGTTTCATTTTGAATAAACTTAAAAAACTGGTCACATTTCATCTTACAGTTCAATCTTATTTTCAATTCAGCTGCTGCTGTTTCACTTAGCATTGAGATTTCGACTAGCTGTCCAAGAGTGCTTCATATGACTAAAAACACCTTCTGCAAATGCATTCGAACAAGAAATTGAATATACATAAGAAACAAGTTTTGTTATTTCATCACAACTTGTTGTGGTTTTTGCAATTAAATATGCCCAAACTTGATCAAGTCGAATCTTTTGATGATGTTGTGTCGTTGATGTCTTGTAAAGAAATTGTTCATCTTCATTATCAACTGCTTCATCCTCAGCTGATGCATCGCATGTTGCATCAAATATGTGTTTTTTGACGTCATGATTACCAATATATTTTTTTATTTGAATAAATAATGGTTCGCGATAAGAATTTACTTCTTTAAAAGTTGATTGTAAATCAATCATTTGTTCAAATAATTTATCATGATCAAGTTCAAGATTACGAACAGAAACACATCTTTCTATTTGATCGAATGTAACTTGATCAATTTCGGTTATTCCTAAAAGCAACAATATTATTAATATTTTTGTACTTTGTTATTAAAAAAATACCAAAAATAGCTACTGATTCAGCTAATACACGGTGATCATCGTAATACTTGTTTATGTATTTAATAATACTTGATAAATAATTAATAAAAGAAGAAGTCAGTTCTTGTTGTGTATCTTCATTCATAGAATTTAATAATATTCGTGTTTGATGACCAAAATAATTTTGTTTTAATCGATCATCCAATTTTTTTAATAATGATGTAACAATTCGATGCAAATCAGCAATTGATGTACTATACCGTTGAAGTTCCAAATTTTTCATTTGAATATCAAATAAAACCTGATGTAAAAAATGCAGGGTACTTTTCGCCACGTTTGACAAGAAAATTCTTTGATAATAGGTGGACAGATTTCTCCATCTCATCATTATTCATATTTAAAAAATAAGACGATAAGGTTCGTATACCTTCATTAATCGATCAATGGATGTAAACAAACTAAGCCAACGAATTTTTATATGCTGTAATAAACACTAAATCGATAAAAGTCTTTCATTTATACGAACATACAAAGAAAAAATTAGACATACCATGTAATCTTCTTCGACAAAGTCAAAATATTCTTTTAATGCTAAAACTCGTTTTGATGATGAACTGAAATGACTGTAGAGCTGCGATAAATATAGTTCAATATTAACTAATAAATGTCGATGAGAAGTTTTGACTGAATTGTTCAAAATATGAGAATAACAGTTCCCTGTAAGAAAAAAAAACATTGCCGGAACTGTTCGAATTTTCAAATTGTGATGCTACCTTTCTACAAATTCAAAACTTCAGATTTTATCATACTAAATACAGAATGGAATCGACCGAAATTTACGTTGGTATTATCAGCACCAATAGCTGTCATTTGTTGAATATCAATCTCATTTCTTTTGTAAAGCATCATATAATGCTTTAACAATATGATCAGCTGTCTCACGTGGTTGTTCATTAACTTCTAACACGGATCGTGTTATACCTGATTGAATAGTAAAATAATTGATGATAAATGGAAACATTTTAATATTTCCTTCATTAGATCCATCAAAAGACCCCGAGAAAAAGAGAGTTTTTTTATTTGCTGAATAATTCTAGATTAAAAAAAAGGAGCTGAAGTTAAAAGAACTTTATTAAAAATTCTAAAATGGCATATGTATTGTCTTACCAAGAACATTTACTGACAAATCTCGTGCTTTAGTTTTACCGCAACTGATATTCTGTCCTATAACTGATTCATCAAAAATATTTTTCGCAGGATCAACGACACATGATTGACTAACATAACTGTGGCTATGATGTACTCCATGATATATAAGACTTAATTCAGCAGCAGTCAATTTGGTTAATAAAGTTGATGGAGTAATAAATTCGCGCATTGAACGAGCTTAAAAACCAAAAAATCGGCTAATCATATATTTTTGTCTATCGCTGATATGCTTACATTTTTCTTTATCTTCAAGTACAAGTAAACATTTATGACCTATTTGTTCAATATGACGATTAATTAAACATGTTCCTCCGTTGGCAATGGAAAAATCTGATTTACATATTGAACAATGTGAAAAATGAGGATTTGTTTTACATTCTTGAAGAAAACGTGCATATTTTGGATCTTTTATCCATTGTTTCTTAAAAACAGAAACTCTTTTCGATTTTGATGCTGATTTTGGTTTTTGTTGTGTATCTGTACTTAGTCTTTCAATTGAACTAGAAAATTCTTCAGTTGTCGTCGTTGTTGTTTCTGGTTCAGATTCAAAACTTTTACACGGCTGAATTTGATTCTCGCTGTTAAATTCTAATCCAGAATTGATATCAACTTCCATTAATCATAAACCAAAATCTAAATTAATTTTATAAATATTATGAATGAAAGTCAAATATGATACACAAATAGTAAAGGAAAATAAAGAACAAAAGAGTCATCGAACTTTACTTTCATCGAAAAATAAAAAAAGTTCAGATGCAACGAAACGAATAAAATGAATATTAATATTTGTTGGTTAATTTTTCACCAATATTATTCTTTTCTAATGTCTCTACAGTGGCGTCATAAATTGTGTCGAACAATACAATTTATTTCAATTAAAGATCCGTTTGTAGCATCAAAAACTCAAAAGTCTAAATGGGGTACAAAATGTGTACCTCTAGGGTACAATTCTTTTTGGGGTGCCATATCACGAAATCGGGTACAATATTCCAAAATGGGGTACAGTTGGCCGCCCTGACCGCGATCGCAACCTATGGTGCCGCTTTCATTCTCGGTTCAAACTTTTCTAGTTCGTCATTCGTCTTTTGTCAGTTTCGACTAATACTACTTCCATCTTTGACCAATTTATTTACTTAGAATAAATTAATAGAGATTTTCAACAATAAGCAACTCAGCTAATCTGATTCTTATATTTACTTGCTTCTCAGCCAACCATGCTTCCTGTTCGAATCTGAATCGACTATGAAATATCTTTCTTTGTTTTCTCTTAACAAATCATTTTTATATATTTTGCGTAGCCAGGGTTATGGATGACTTTCTTTTGACCAATCATATTTTTCACGGTTTTCCTTCACTGAATCCTACTTTTTTATGATTTCTCTTCACCAATGGGAGTTTTTTTGATTTTTCCTGAACCAATAATTTTGTCTTGCTCTTTTTTGGACAAATTCAATTTTTTCTATTGGTTTTCTCTCAATAAGGAACATTTGTCACTGATACCGTCCATTTCAGCTTACGTTTTGCTCATAAGTAGGATCCAATGAAATAATAAGAGACCAAAGATTATTCGACTTCACAGACCTTCATATCAAAGCGATCAGCGTTTTTTTCTGAATTTTCAGCCTCTGACATCGTGGTACTTATTTAGATCAGCAACACCCCAACACCGACATGCTTTGATGCCCTCAGATTTCAATGTGCCCTGTCGGTTGCGATTTATTAGTTCTAGAGCATCGTCGCTCTGAAGAAGAACTGGCAACGTCGTCATCGAAAAAGTACAAAGAAATTTTGACCAATTTTTTTTTCTATCTGTAGACCACTGGTGGTGCTTCAGATATATTCAAAGTTTTGAACACAATAAGTTCTCTTTCGAATGATTAAATCTCGAAGAAAGTTAGATATTCTTGTGTTTTAAAATCTGATCTTTTTATCTTTCAATGTTTCCAGAAAAAAGTAACTATTTTGAGCGTAATTTTGAATATATTCGAAGGACCAGAAGACCAATTTATAGACGGAATTTCAGGTAGAAATTTCTTTATTCTATTTTTAGATGAAAATCTTATCAGAGGTAGGAAATCAGCAAAACATTCATGACTTCGGAAGCAAGGTATACTGGGTGACTCCTTTTTGACTATTAGTCTCACTGGAATCTATTTATGAGTAATATATGGGCCCAAATAGAGGGTATCAGTTGAGAATGCGTTCTCGTCATCCTGTCATATTTTTCTTTGGATTCATTGAATAACAAACTAGCAAAGCAGTGTGCCACCCATTCTCCAATAGTATTTATTGAAGTAATTCACGCTAACAGTTGTGTCTATCTCACGAAGGACACGGAATTATATAGGAGAGAGCTTCGGTCAAAGTCGAGGAGTGAGAAGCGAAATGTTAACATAGAGCGAAGAAGAAAAAAATGACAGCGATTGGTTACAATAACCAAAAGAAAGGGAACTGTGCTAGGACAGTTCAGTTTCACTAATCATATTTTTTCTTAATTTTCTTTTAGAAAATCAGATTTATTATTTGAATTCCTGTTGAAAAGAAACTAAATAAATCTTTCGAGTTAGGGAAAATCACTAAAACAATTTGACTGGTCAGCAAACGATGAAAGAAATGGGACTGATCATCAGAAAAATGCGAAGTACTTTAATTGGTCGAGAAAAATAAAATGGTCTTTTATTTGTTTATTGAATTCAAAGATTTTCGAGACTTGAGTTGTCAAAATAAAATCATGAAAGGGTGTAGTTGTGAGTCTGTAGTTCATCCACATTCACGCCCACACCACACACATCCACACCCTGAAAACGTATCGTCATGTTGTGTAAGCTTTATCTGAATAAAGAAACAACTTGTGAAAATAATGTAATCGTTTCTGTTGCCACAAAGGTCTTGGAAAATAGCAATAGCATGCTGACCTTAACTTTTAAGCAACTGAAACAAATTATCGAAATAAATGAAAGAGATATTTTTCATCAGGTTTTGTAGAGCATTCGAGGGCACATATTTTAGAAAAACATTTGAGGTTACATCATTTATCTATGCTGAAATATTAGTAAAATAAAATGTGTGCAACCATTTTGTGACGCCTGATATACCTGAAATTGGCTTCGAGGGTGTGGGTGTGGGTATCTGTATTTCATTCACACCCACACCCACGCCCACACCCACACCCACACCCACACCCACCCACACCATATATCTTGGTCGAAGGAAAGAATGTTAAGGATTTGTCCAACATGAATAATTCCATTATATGCTAGCTCTTTTCCTATATGTTGTGTTAGTTTTTTCCCTTTCTTGTGTGTACGTCTATCTATATACACATGTACACCTATTGTTCCGATAGAGATATCTAGGACATAAGATGATCAAATTTCAACGACAAAAGTGATGAAAACTTTCTTCACGAACAAAGATCTAGCGAACGGTAGTGAACGGTTTCTATATTTCTATTCTCTGATGGTTGTCAAAATCAGAAGGGAAGCTGTCTGCGAGAGTGCTGCCTCAATCCTGAAGCAACACATTCGTGGCAATCTAGCTCCGGATCACAAATCCTTAAACAAAGAAGTAATGTTACATTGGAATGCACTATCGCTTCATCTAGCAGATCAATTCATCAAGTCTTGCCTCAACAACTACTTCTTTCAACTGAAGAACAAACACTGGATTTCCTTGAAAAAAAAACATAGCAACATCGTATATTCAAATTAGTTAAACCTGATTTAGTTGTTTTGAACCGCTTGAGAAAAGAACAAGTAGAAAGAATTCCTATGTTGTACGAACAGTAACAAACAGAACAAAATATTGCCATGTTTTTTTTACTTATATTTTGTGACAAATAAAGTTGGTCTGTGAGCGGCGAAGAAAAAAATAGCTTGGGGAAATTTTTTGGAGAACATTTCCGCGGGGGAGGAAATTTTTTATTTTTTGGAAGATTCTGCACATCTGGAAGAGCGTATCAGTCAAACATCGTACGAAAAGTAGTAAATAAAGCAGTAACACTAATTTGTGACTTCGGAACGCGATCGATGAGAAGTTATACAAATTAATATTTTGAAACTTGATGTTTATATTGAAACACTCATCTGTTTTGGAGCATATTTCATATTTTCACCGTATTAGAGGAAAACCGAAATTGGGAGTACGATTGCTGTATCTCGAACTAGTTTTTTTTTCAAGGAAATCCAGTGTTTGTTCTTCAGTTGAAAGAAGTAGTTGTTGA